CTCCTGGATGAATTTGCTATCTGTGGTGGGAGTGGAGTTTTGTGTAATTCTGTGTGTCTGAATAAAATAATTGATTATAAAATTTAATCTAAAATTCTGATAATAAGTAGATTTATTTCTTTCATACAAGGATTTGTTCTTATATTAACATTGATATCTTTGAAAGACTGAGGTTTAAACTTCCAATAGTTTTAGTAAGCAAAATTATATATATTTTATAGAGATATAGCTATAGATACGTGACTTAACTGCTTCAGGATTTTGTCCAGCTTGTCAAATACTCTTATCTGTTGTTTCTGGATGCCTTTACCTTACTGCACGATTTTAAACAAGAAAACCTATCATGTTATGAACTATGGTGGGCTGATCTTGAGATGATTCTTTCTCTCCAGAATTACCTATGCAGTTCTTCACTTGGGTTTGAGCTGCTTGCTCAGGGCAGGAACTTGGAAGCAAAGTGAAGAAACGCTTTTTCCTGCACGGGCTTTTTTGTTTGTTGCTTTTAATCTTGTGCTTTTGTACCCATCGATTGGTTTTGACCTTGAAGTAAACTGAAAGCTGGTAAGATATGCGTGTGTTGTGACGTTGACATATTCTTATTCTCTGATTTAGTGTCTTTCACTGCCAAAATACTGCAACCATTTGATAGAATAATTTCTCTCTTTTTTTTTTTTCCCTTTCAAAAGAACTTGTGTTTCATGCCAGTGGCCTGAATCACTATGATACTGTGACTTGGTGTTCTGTTCGTAACTTGCTCTTGGGGTTAATTCAAGCTCCCTCCGTCTCTTACTTTGTTTCATATGTGCCTTTGTGCTTGCTCCAGATATTTGGAAATGTCTTTAAAAACTAGGTGGTCGTGTGTGAAAGGACTGCCTTGTAGAGCTTAATTCTTCTGCGCTTGTTGCCATTTTCTCATCCTAGTTTTTCTGGAAACAGTATTAAAGGAATTCTGCTTTCTTGGCTTACACTTGCCACCTCCTGTTCTGTTTGAAATGCTTGAGAAGAAACCTCTTTATTTATTCATCTGCTAGAGAGGTGTTTCAATGAGGGAAAGATGTTGAGCAAGCAGTGAAGTAGTCTAGGCAGCTACAGATCCTTTGAGAAGCTCTCTGATGGGAATGATTCACGCCTGGAATGAACAAATGCATAGCAACAGTGTTTATTTTATTTTGATATTCAAAAGGGTCAAGAGTTGCATGAGTGTTTGCAATATATTTGCTGTGTGTTGGCAGTATCTAGGAACAGATCAAAAACTATTCTGAGACTTCATAGTCTAGCCCGGGACCGGTGCACCATCGACACTCAGCACTATACAGGCACGCAAATCTGGCTCAGGGCTACCAGTGCTCTATGCGGAGAGGATTTGTAGAAGAAATGATAAGAAAATGAACCATGTGAGATCTGTACTAGTCTGATTTCTCATATGTCTGCTGTTAATGTCGTTAAGTCAGTGTTAGACTGAAGGAGTTGGAGGAGTCAGGTGAATGAATCTTTAGCCTCATTAAAACTGACTCTGCTCTTAAACAACAGGAGAAGGTGGCATGAGGATGGTCAGTCTTTCCACAGAGTCATTCCTTTATGGTTGTCCGTAACTAGATCTGTCTGCCAGTTTGCTTTTTGTTGGGTCAATTTTTAAAACTTTGTAAACTCAAGCTTTTTGTTACTTTGACAGTGCAACTGAGTGAACTTGATTATTCCACCTCCTCCTTGCCCAGTTGCAGCCCAGTGATTAACATTTTAAGCCAGCAATCTACAGTTTCAATCTAAACTGTTGCTATGTTTATACGTCATGGATTGCCCTCTGACTTAGGAATGCAATGAGGAAGAACAATCTCTTAGGTGCACTGAATCTAAAATTAACCTTCCACCTGGGTGGTTGGATTTGTAAAGCACCGTGCTGTGTGTGTTCAAGAAAACAAATATTTAGACCAGAAAATAAAACACTTTCTGAATTTAAAGGCTTTGCTTTGGTGCTGTCCTGTGAGACAGGACCAACACCACTAGTTTAGGACTTGTAGAACTGGGCTTTGGATCCTGCTGCTGCTGTGTAGAGCTGTGTGACATTAGCATCCTGCACCTTGGTGAAACAGGGTTTAGTGCATCAGTCCATGAGGTTCTTGAGGAAAAAAAAAATGTTAGGATGGCTTTTGGGCTGTTTGATGCACAGGTAGTTCAAAAATGGTTCTCTTAGAGTAGGCATGTAGCGTGACTGGTGGTGGAGTATTTTGGTGCAAACACTACAAGAGCATCTGTATTTCCAGCCGTTGAAGGAAGCAAACTAACTGTGGGTGGTACAGAAGCACAAGTCAGAGTGGGACAGGGGTACAGCAGTTCACTGTCTGGCAAAACTACATCCTTGCACCAGTACTATGTTGTCTTGATAAGGACTGAAGGTGCTGCTAGATTAAAAATAGCTGCTGGCAAGGCTATAGTCTGAAATCTGGACTGTAGGGATGTTGTGACCCTTCTTAAATGTACACCAGGAATCAGCCCTAATGCTTTAGGTAAGTATTACTTAAGGTCATAGCATCTCCTGGACTAAAACTTGCATTCAGGGTCTGGTACTGGGTAAGTCATGCCAAACATCTAAGTCAATGGTCACTCTTCTGGAAGAGCTGAAGATTGTATTTATGTTGGCTTAAAATTTTGTGGTTTTTTCCAAGCAGGCCTGTGGCAGGTGCGGAGAAGGGGCTGTCACAGCTACGTGTGACACACAGGCTCGCTGCAGAGCACATGTGCTGGGTGCAAGCTGCTGCTTAGGTCAAGGATTGGCTCTACTGAGTCTGCAGACCTGGGTAGAAGTTCTGTTTTGGTGTGAATCCATGGAGGTTTCTGGAATGTTAGATGAGCTGGCTCTAAACCAAGCTGAACATGAAGAAAAGGTACTTTTTAGAGCTTTTTCGATCTGTATTACCTAGATCTCACAGTAATATAGGTGAGTAACTTAGGGGGGAAGAAGAGTAGTTATGTGCCTGCTCAGTGCCTTTAGTAGAACGATTAGCAGAGCTACTTAAGATAGTTCCTTAGCCTGTCTAGTGTTATGTGTGCAGATGGGAGACTGCTCCCTAGTGCAGATTCGACTGCCGCAATGTTTCTGCCACTGATATGGCCAAAACCAAGTCGCTCAAGATGATCTAAAATCCCCCTTCTAGTTTCATGTTGCAAGCGATGGTTTCTATTGACTGGTGTGTGATAGAGTTCTGGTGAGATATCATGGCAAGGTATTAAAGAGGCTTTTTGATGCTAGCAAGGTGGCTTTGTTTAAATCTAATCTTGTTACGAGAAGGCTGTCAGCAAGTGTGGGGAAATGGAGAGGAGTACTAAAGATGAAGAGCTGATGTGAGGGATGTGACATAAATTTTGAACTCCTAATACATAAAGATATAAGTAAAAAGTTGAAAGTGAAAATAGTGATTTGGGATGGTAACTGTAGTAGAACTGAGAGAGATGGGCATGCACCAGGAAGGTAAAAAAGAAAAAATATAAGTCAGTTTAAAAGTTGGGGATGGGTACTAAACAAGTGGATCACTTCTGCCCTTGTCAGAGGTGGGCTGGGTGGCATGATAGCTCTTTTGAGTCTTTCACTTTCGTGTTCCTGTAAAACAAACAAACAAAAACCTTCCTATTGTTCTCAATGCCACTGCTGGCTCCAGATGTTCCTGGAACCATGGTTATTGCTTTAGTTGTGACCTTTAGAAGAGAAGAGCTGCCTGTATGCAAGTTAGAAAAAGATTTGAGCATAATATGCATGCACAGGTGTAAATGTAAGTGCAGAATATGCTACAACATAGGCCTCTCGGTTGGTAGATCTTCAAACTTAGTCTTTTATGACTTGAAATACTACTTATAACAGAAGCAAGTTAATGCCAGAACTGCCAGTAATGGCTTTCCGGAATGAAAGGAACTAAAACTTTCCAGATATTTTGCCATCTATAACTTTCGAAGTCCTTCCTGAATTGGGAGGCTACATTGCATTTGGTGGTTGTTTTGTTGTCATGGTTTTCAGGGCGCAAGACTTGATCTGTTGTTTTTTTTTTTTTATTGTGAGACTAGGAAGCAATTCCAATCTGTGTTTGGTGGTGGTGACTGTTCACA